AGGGGCAAAGCTGCCAGTGACGCCAGTGGCCGCAGTGCAGCTGCAGCCAGGGAAGGACCAGCATCCTTTGTGTAGCTCCAGGTAGCATCTCTTTGTAGACCCAGGGACCAGCCCGTGAGAGTGAACGCAGCCTCCAGTCCACACACCCAGCCACTGTCTAAAGACAGCAGGGGACGTGGGATGGAAATGATTAGGAAATCAGAGCCATCCTCCCCAAAGACAGGTTTATCTGGAGACACTCTTTTTTGATGAGACCTAAGGTTTAAAGTAGGTCGTGTATTTAGTAATTTTCTTCTCGCCTAGGAAAGTGGAGGGTCCTACAAAGCACAATAGAATTCCAGAAAAAAAAAAAACAACTATATTTTCTCTTGCACATCTGAATTGCAGCGGACAGCCTCTCCACAAAAGGGGAGTGGCGGTGAGGGGTATGCCAGGCTCTGAGAACGCATAAAGCAAAAGTACAGAGTTGGGAATATGAATAAAACATTTGGAGATTAAAAAGATTTTCAACTTGACTGTAGCAGAAGGTTTAAGAAAAAGACCCTGGTTTAAGAAAAAGGTCAGGGCAGTAGGGAAGCTTACCGGTCTCTGGATATAGAATTTAAACTTTATTTTATTGACTGCAAACTTAAGTTTGATTTTGCTAAGTAGCAGTTTTTTTCTGAATTTAAAAAAAAAAATCAAAATTTCAAATGAATGTCAGCATTTCCTTTCAGTGTTCTTGTCTGAAGACCTTTTTCTTTTACCTAAAAACTCACTAACAATTCTACTACCTACCAGTGGAGCGGAGAAGGATCCTCAGGGTGAAATAAGTCTCATGGACGAGAAGAGCTGAATTCATGACATGCATATTTCACGTAAAAAAACGATCAAATTGAGCAAAATAATATAAAGAGACACACGGTAAAACTGTACCACACCAAGGGATTGCATGGTTTTACTTTCCACTGCACTGTAAACTGCCTGAAAGAAACAAAAAAAAAAAGCATGGCTGGGTTAAATTTCAGCACATTGCATAAGGAATTAATTACCTCCAATTTCAAAACTAGGCTTTCTGGAGTTTGCTTTCAGTTTGGGGTAGTTATGATTTTGAATTATTTTTACACTGAATTAACAGAGTTTTCCCTTTTCATTACCTATGATGCAAAAGCAGCTGTATCCTTCCCTATCACACAGAACTGAGGTCCTCGTGACCTCACTGCAAAAGATAGCCGTTATCAGAAGCCCCCTGTCCCCCGCTCCCTACAAGAGTAAGCAGGGTGCTCCCCTTCCCCAGCTAACTTCGCCTCTTCAGCAAAGGACAGTGGGGAGGGATAGCAGCCCACTTCGGCACTGAGTGCTGTCATCTGACAGGCCACAAAAATCTGTAGCAAGCACTGAGCAACTGAGTAACACAGGGTCATGGTCTCCCCTGCCATGTTGGTCTGCATGCCTGTACTTTGAGGGGAATGAATTTTGACCTCCATGCCACCCAACTCAAAATTTCACTAATTTAAGTTGAAATGTAATCTGGCAGTGTGGGTTGGCTTTCGTTTGAAAGTCAATGGGACTGTGCGCCCGCCACCCAGTTAACATGGGTTTTCAAGCTACTGCAGCGGGGTCGCACGCACGCAACCGTATGCGGTTCTCAGCTGTTCCAAGTTGTTTCGTGTCTCTTTCCTCCAGTGAAATACGCTCACCCACTTGTCCCTAGGCAAGCTCCTAAGCGCTCTTCAAGACCCAGCTCAAGCACCGCTGTCGAAGGTTTCTCTGGCCTGGGTGACCTTGCACAGCCCCTAATTATGGGGTACGTCACTCTTCATTGCAATCTTCTGTTAAGAAGCTGGTCAGTCTCCCCACCTCCAGTAGGAACTGTGACAACCTCGAAGAAAAAGAGTTCATTCGAAGACAATGCTTGGCGACTAGTACGTGTTCAATAAAGGCTAATAGAACATCATGGGTCCCGATAAAAAGATGACACAACTGGGCTAAGCTGTATTAGGGGACAAGCAAGTTGCCTCGAAATATTTGCTTTGCAATGAACTTCGTTGAGTACCAGAATGGGGTGGCAGCGGGGGGTGGTGATGCCCAAGTAAGATTCAAATCAATGATCATTAACTGATATATAATGATGAATAACTAATGAAGGAAGAGATTATTAATCAAGCAAAACGTTAGAGTTGGTAGGACAAATAGGATCCCCCAAAACGGACTTGTTAACTGGTCTTCTCTACCACGGAAATTCACAGGAGGTACCAATGCCTATACGTGGATAAAAGAGGCATGCAGAAAAGAGAGATGCAGAGTCTGATGAGCTCAGGGTGGTCTGGGTGAAACAACAATCCTTCGAGTGTGGGCCAGACACCAGGCATGAGAATCATCTGCAGTGAATCAGAACCTCTGGACGTGCAGCTGAGGGATGCGCACTTCAAGCACATCCGATGGCCCTTCCCATGCACAGCAGTCTGAAAACGTAGGCAGCAGAAGAGAGTCCTTTCCCTGCTGGGAATTTCAACCTTGAACTTGTTTCAAAAGTGAATTTCAGTGGAGAAAGTGTGATCTCTTCCAAAAATTGTATTGGAGAAACTGCAAATCCATATAGAAAAACAAACAAGCAAGCAAACGAGGATCTTGACCTCCACCTTAAACCACGAACAAAAAATCGATTCCAAATGGTTTGTAGACCAACGTATAAAACATCAAACAATAACTGTTCTGGAAAAAAAACATAGACAAATAGCTTCACAACTTAGAATAGGAAACGATTTCTTAACAGGTTACAGAAAGTATTAAATAATTTTTTCTTTTAGGAAAAAAATATATAAATTGAAATACATTAAAATTAAGAACTGGTGTTATCAAAAGACACTATGAAGGAAGCCACAGATAAATGTACATATCTGCAATATATATTTGCAATACAGACCTTTGACAATAAGATACACGGAAGAGTTCGACAGGTGCATCACAAAAGGGAATGGATATATGTAAAGGTGCCCAACATGATTAGTTATCAGAGAAGTGAAAATTGAAACCACAATGAGATGCCACTTCACACCCAACAGAATGGCTAAAATTACAAAAGAAAAAAAAAAAACTGACTACACCAATGTTGGTAAGGACGTGTAGCACCCAGAGCACTTACACACGACTTATGGTAAGAATCGGTACAACCACTTCGGAAAGCCGTCATCAATATCTACTAAAGGCAAGCTTTGTGACCCAGGAATCCCACTCCTAAACACATGTCCAACATACACGCACGCATACGTACATCGAAAGGCATCCGAAAGAATGTTTAATACCACTACATGTAATAGCCAGAAGTCGGAAACAATTCAAATGCTCTTCAATAGCAGAATGGGTAAATGGTGCTATATTCATGAACAAAATTTGTACACTAAAAAGAACCGAAGAACGCTGCATGGATGAATCTTGATAACACCGTGCTGAGAACAAGAAGCCAGACCCCAAAGAGCACATTCTGCGTGATTTACGTGAAGTTCAAAATCAAGTGAGACTGACCTATGGCGATTAAAAAAAAAAAAAAAAATCGCGATGACTTTGTAGGGTATAGAGAATGAGAAGGGGCACTGGGGATACTGTAATATTCTATTTCTTAATCTGGGTGCTGGTTACTTGGGTGGATTCACTGTGTTGACACTCATCAAGCTGAACGCTCATGACTGGTGCACTTTTTTTTGGCTGTGTGCTCACTAAAAAGCATACTTAAAAAACAAATTTCTTAAACAAGGCCACTTATCTGAATAATGCTTTGGCATTAGCATTCCGCTGCCTCGCACACTCTTCCATCCAACAGCGTCGCTAAGCTGGACTTCACCCATAAAGCCAGTCTTCTGTATGACTATAATGGATTTCTGCAGTTATATGGCGCCTTTCCTCTGCAGAGATCAAAGGGCTCCTGCATAATAAAAGATAGCATATCAAATGCCGCATATCAAACACAGTTAGGTCTGAGAGGATAAAGGGGAAATATTGAACTCGGGGACATATATTCTAGGAACCCTGTAGACATAAAATAAGTCATAAAACTGTATGTAAAAACAATCATAAACATCAACTATTAAGAATTCATTTGTGTGAAATAAAAGGCCCGCTGCTCCTGAGGCTGCTTTCTTACTCTTCGTGTGAGAAGGACAGAAGGCAGCACAGGCATTCAATTTAGGAGTTAGACTCCTAGGCACCACATCGCAAGATTTCTCGAGAGCTGACTTGGCACCTCACCGCAGTAAAACAGAGCTACTAAATAAACCCTCTGTGCTGCTGTTCAAAGAGCTCGCATATGTGCTTTGAGATGTAAACTCGCCAACCCTGACAACCAATTAAATGGGCCTTTTTCACATTGGTGAAATGAATTTTCTGTTGGTGCACCTCTCTGAGGCATATACAATAGAATTACACACCTTGCTTTAATGTTTCAGGTGGACGCTCAACAAATGTGTGTTCCTCAAACGTCAAGGCTTAAAATCGCCACTGGAAGACGTGCACGGCAAAGAATTTTGCACTGACCTGAGGCCGCTTGGGTCGCCTGTGTGGAGTGACGTTCTTGGGTCACCTGTGTGGAGTGACGTTCTTCGGTCACCTGTGTGGAGTGACGTTCTTCGGTCACCTGTGTGGAGTGACGTTCTGGGTCGCCAGTCACCCCAGGAGATACTTCCACTAGCCTAACGAAGGACATCTTGCGCTTTGTGAATTGTGAAACAGCTGCTCAGACATCTCTCTGTCATCTCTACACATGTGGAAGGAGAAAAAGAAAAACAGTTGCCCTCGAATAATTTAAATAATTTACATTCCACAGAAGGATCACTTCAATAAAGGGAGTCAGATCAATGAAAGCAGTGTGTTAATTTTGTGTAGCTATCCCTTGAGAGGGATGACAATAGTCAATGATAATGGAGAGGAGGGGGAGAAAACTGGCCAAGTGACAAGCACTCCTAATGGATAACCTCATTAAATTCTCACGACAATCCTATTAAGTTGGTAGTTTATTATCTCCATACAAAAATGGAGATAAAAAAAAGTTTAACTAGCTCAAGGTCACACTACATAATAAGTGATGAAGCCAAGACTTAAAGCCAGGCAGTGTGACTCCAGACCTCAGGCTCCTTAGTACTAGAGTTTACCGGATTCGGGGAAGGGACACTAGGGCATCCGTGGTGAGGTCTTGCGTTGGAAAAGCGCCTTGTCATTCTGAGCAGGCTCATGGCGGAAGTTCCTCCTGTAACCTGTGATGAACTCCAAAGAGAGTCAGACCTACTTCCCTAATTAGAAATGGATCACAAGCCTCATATTCCCACAGGGGATCACCAAGATGTGCGTCAGGAACCAGGCATCCCTTGGCGTCATGCTTCGACGCAGTCACATACGTTTAAAATGATGCAACCACTCCCCGTCATTAGAGCTTGCTCTTTTTGCAGATGTCTGACTTGTCCTTGTGTTCAAGCTTTTAGTCTAACAGTGTCTACAAAAGATTCCCTGGAAGGTGAATTCACGTTCCTTGGAAGACTATGGAACAACACAGATTTCATCCATAGGCAGAAGCGATGATTCATTCATAACAAGAGTGTTGCTAACTTGTCCAATAGGAGACCAGTCTGTGGGGAAAAAAACAACAGCTAGGAGATTTTCATCCAACCAGGAGGTCACTTTAAAATTCAATTTAGTGACACCCTTGTGGGCTTTCCCTGGCACCTAGAATATATGGACTAATAATTGGGAACAGCTGCTTGTCTTGACTGGAACCACTCTATTTAAATAGCTCCAAGATTACACCCTTGGCCTCTGCTTCTTTATATACTTGGGGAACAAACTACTGTGGATGCCCAGATGTATTCAGACAATGGAAGAAATGATTTATGGAGACTGACCACATCCAGGGCTGGTTCCATCATCACCACCCATGCGAAGGAGGGGGGACCAAATGACAAGGTCACACGGTTACTTATCCCCAGGAGTCGCCTTGAATAAAAGTTATCCTCAGATTGAAGCTCTTTTTCATGACCTTCACTATAAGACAGTTTTTGCACTTGACTCCACCAAAAACCAAACTTAGTTTCCAGTGTATTCGTTCTGATGCTCCCAGAGCATTTCATTCTGGTGTGCCCCCCAGTGAAGTCCGAAGCAGTTCATGAGACTCCTGCAGAATGTGAGACTGACATATTATATCGAACATTTTAAAGGACACTTCGGTTTTCTTCCCATTTGTGTCGTTTTGTCCAATTTTATATTTCTGTTGAATCACTGATTCCACAAAAATTTATTGCATGTTTTCTGGGCCAAGTACTCATCCCTCATAATGGCTTGAGCTAAATTTATTCGTGCCAAACACACTTGTAACCTTCCTTTTCCAATGTAAATATCCAACAATAGAAAAGTAATAAAATATAGCATGACATATCCACTTGGAAAAATATTATAGGCCTATTCACGAATTATGATAGTATCTGCAGGATTATGAAAGAAATTGGGGAAATTAAAATAATATTGTTAAAAAGAAGCAAAATTAAATAGACCTGTGATGACAACTGTGTAAAATTATGTTTAGACAAAAGATGGGGGGAAAATCGAAAGGAAATAAAGATTCTATAATCTGACTCTCTCTATAAATATTCTGGAAAACCACAGAAGTCAGCAATATAAGCAAGTAAAACCATTTGAATTTGTGCCGATAGCACAATGATGAGAGAGAGAAAACTACAAACTTCAAATTATGTCCAAATAGATAAATAAACAACCCAATTCAGAAGAGCCAGTTGAGAAAAGAGGAAAAGAAAGCAGGGGCCTTGGTGTGAGAAAACAGACGCGGCCACCCCAGGAAGAAAATGTCTCTCCTGAGTGGGAAAATACTGAACACAGGCATGAGACGTGGTAGATTAAAGCACAGTTACTGACGAATCAAAAGGAAGGAGCTTGAAAGTCTGTAAAAACAGACGTGGACATCTTGAGAAAGGACCCGTTCTGTAGGAGAAGCCTTTAGAGATTAGGTGGTGGAGTAAAATAAGAAAGAACTAGAAACAAGAAAATCACAAAATCAGAAGACACATCACCATCATCCCAAAATAGGGAGAAATTTTTAATAAACTGTATTTCATAAACAAACAGAAGAGGAAGCTCTTGAGTTAAGAAATCTCATGTATAATCTAAAGCTTCACCTCCTCATCTCTACCTGTGACAGTTATTGCTAGTCCAAGAAAATACAACATCTCAAAATGAAGAATAAACATCACAATATCCACACAGTTACTATAAGAAGAAAAAGGAACATAAAATCAAAACCTTTTACCTGATGAATATTCTACCGCCCCCCAAAAAACAATAACAAAGCAGACTCATGTATAATCTAAAGCTTCACCTCCTCATCTCTACCTGTGACAGTTATTGCTAGTCCAAGAAAATACAACATCTCAAAATGAAGAATAAACATCACAATATCCACACAGTTACTATAAGAAGAAAAAGGAACATAAAATCAAAACCTTTTACCTGATGAATATTCTACCGCCCCCCAAAAAACAATAACAAAGCAGAAGAAAATGTCAACATTCCTTAAATATCCTTAACCATTTGGAGATATAAAGGGGGGGGGGGGGGGGGGGGGAAACAAGTGTTCAAAGATTTAAACATCTGCTTAGAAATTTTAAAACTGAAAACATAAATGGATAAAAATCAGAAATGAAATTTTTTAAAAAGACGAAATCATCTTAGAAATTGACTAAATCACGATATGCCCAAAAGAAAATAGATACATTAAAAGGTGTTCAGGAAAGGCATAAAAACAAACGAAAGAATGAAAACAAAACAAAAAGACACAAGAATCAGAGAGAAAGTGATTGAGGTAAAAATAATTTAAAAGATCTAATGAATGAATAATTGGAATCATCGATGAATTAAAAACAAAATAATGGAATACAATCAATATTTAAAACGATAATCCAAGAAAATTTTTCAGAGATAAAATTGACACACATTTACATCGTTTACATAATGAAATAGTCCACTGTGTATCTAGTAAGACAACCCAGAATGGTCAACTTCAACACATATCTCACTAAGACTAGTAATAGAGTTTTTTAAAAAAAGAAAAAATAATCCTCTAGGCCTCCAAGGAAAATTACCAAGTCACTTACAAAGAAAAGAAAATCAGTTTGACATCAAATTTTTCCATAACAATAGCACAGAATAAGACAATAGTGGATCAACACTTTCAAGAGATTCGAGGAAATAGGAATAAACCAAGGGTAAGTGGACAAAACATAAGGATATAGAAGAACACAAACAAAAAAGTAACGTAATTTTAATGATATTTCTTTATCTCTCACTTTGATAGTAGAATATACATGGAATGTTCACAAAAATTGATCATGTGGTAGTTCACAAAGAAAGCCTCAATATGTTCCACAAAGGAGAAATAACAAAAACATATCATCTCATTACAATGCAATAAAGATTAATAACAAATTGGCCTTTCCATCTGAAAATTTAAAACCCCTTTTATTTTTTTATTGAGATATATTTGACATATACTGTGTAAGTTTAAGATGCACCACATATTAATTTGATACATTTATATTGAAGTATACCTGCCATTGTGGCATGAGCTAACGCCTCTATTACGTCACCTAATTATCATTTCTTCTAGTGCTGGGAACAATAGATGTAGTCTCTTAGAAAGTTTAACGTTTATAATATAATTTTGTTGTCTGTAATCACTGGACTGTGCATTAGATCACCAGGACTTATTTATCCACTAGTTGCAAGTCTGTACCCTCAAACATCATCTCCTCCATCTCCCCCAACCCCCAACCCCAAGCCCTGGTAACCACCATTTTACTCTCTGCTTTTACCATTACACATTTTCTTAGATTCCACATAAAAGAGATATCACGCAGTATTTGTCTTTCTCTGTCTGACTTATCTCACTTAGCATAATGTCCTCAAGTTCCATCCATATTGTTACAAATAGCAGAATTTCCTTTTTTCTCACGACTGAATAGTATTCCATTGTACCTGTACACCACACTTTCTTTATCCATTTATCCAATGATGGACACTTAGGTGGTTTCCTTATCTTGCTATTTTGTACGATACCACAATCACCACAGGAGTGCATATGTCTCTTTGGTAGCCTGTTTCCATTTCCTTTGGAAGTATATCCAGAAGTGGGACATATGGTGGTTCTATTTTCAACTTTCTTAAGGCAACTCCATACTGTTCTCCGTAGTGGCTGAAGCAGTTTGCAATCCCACCAAAAGCGCACAAAGGTTCCCTTTTCTCCACATCTGTACCAACACTTACCTCTTGTCTTCTTGATCATAGGCTTTCTTACAGGTTCAGTGCAGTGATAACTCATCATGGTTTTGATGTGCATTTCCCTGATGATTAGGGATGTTGAAAACCTTCTCATGTACCTGTTGGCCATTTGATGTCTTCTTTGAAAAAAATGTCTATTTCGTTTCTCTACCCAAATTGGATTTTTTTTTTTTTTTTGTCATTGAGTTGTATGAGCTCTTTATAAATTTTGGATATTAACCTCTTATCTAATACATGGTGTGCAGAAATTTTCTCCCGGTCTACAGACTGCCTGTTCATTTTATTATTGTTTATTTTGCTGTGCAGAAGCTTTTAAGTTTGACTCAGTTCCACTTGTTAATTTTTTTCTTTTGTTGTGCTTTTGGTGTCATATAAAAAAAAGTCATTGCCGAGACCAATGGCGGGAGCTTCTTCTCTGTGTTTTGTTCTAGGAGTTTTACGGTTTCAGGTCTGGTGTTTAAGTTTTTGATCCATTTAGAGTTACTTTCTGTGAGCAGTGTAAGACAGAGATCCAATTTAATTTTTCTGCATGTGGTTATTCAGTTTTCTCTACACTCCTTGTTGAAGAGACTACTCTTTCCACCCTGAATGTATATATACATGCAGTTGGAAGACATAATAGAGGGGGAAACCTCATTACAATAGCAACAACAAAAATAATATACGTTGGAATGAACTTAAAAAGAAATGTGCAAAAGCTGTATGAGAAAAACTTGAAACATGAAAAGTTATTCTAGAATAAATGAGAAGACATCTCATGCCAGAAAGAAAGAAGTGCTCAAAAACTACTAGGATATTTAAAGGACTCATGGTCTCATTTGAAAGGACGATCACTGGCCAAATTTGGGGGTTACCGAAAGAATGATGATAATTATAAAACACAGAATAAAAAGAATGAGAGTCCACAGTGAAATTAAGAAGTGGAGAGAAGCAAGGGGGGAATGAAAAAATTCTTTACAGAAGAATGCTAGCTAATCAATGCAGAAGGAATAACAGAATTTTAAACATCATCATTTAGCAATCATCAACGTAATGATTCAAGCAAAAGTCATCAGTGGATGCTAAAACCATTGAGTAAAAACTTTCAGAGGAAGTGGACATTCACACGGTCTCCAAATATAACCCCACATAATATTTATTAATTATAAAGGGAAAGATTATCTTCATGATGAAGGAATCTGGCAGACACCTTCTTAACCAAGTGATCCAATTTATCATCATTAGTAATGTGACAAGCTGACATTTGACTCTTGACTCATACACCAATAAAAAGTGGTGTGTATTT